ACATTTTGGGTAATTTGTTACAGTAGCAATAAGACACCAATACAATAAGAGATTTCAGATATGAAAGGGAGCAGGAGACGATTTCCAAAGAAAGTGGCCTCTCTAACATCTGCTCCAAGAATAAAAGTGGTGACCGGGCATGGTGGCTCACGCCTGCAATCCCAGTACTTTGGGAGGCCGAGGCAGGTGGATCACCTGAGGTCAGGAGTTCGAGACCAGCCTGGCCAACATGGTGAAACCCTGTCTCTACTAAAAATACAAACATTAGCTGGGCGTGGGGGCGGGTGCCCGTAATCCCAGCTACTTGGGAGGCTGAGACAGGAGAATCGCTTGAACCTGGGAAGTGAAGATTGCAGTGAGCCGAGATCGCACCATTGCACTCCAGTCTGGGAGAGAGAGCAAGACTCCATCTCAAATGAAAAAAAAAAAAAAAAAAAAAGAGAGAGAGAGTAAAAGTGGTAGAAATTGGTCAGGGTGCCGAGGAAATTTGGTGAGGACATAGGCAAGATGATGATTCTGGGGGAGCTGTCGGCATTTGTGGGTCACCTGCCGTTCCCTCTAGGGAAGTGCCTGGGTTGAGAAGCACTGTTCTTGGCAATTCAGCAGGTGCTACTTTCCGCTTGGTTTGTTGGGAAACTAAGCAGGGAGAGGTCAATAGCTTGCTTGAGCTCATGCAGCTTGTTAGGGATGGAGCCAGGACACTGATGCAGGATGACTCTGGTCCATGCTTTACTGCTGCCTCACCTCAGAGAAGGCAACAAAAGCAGGGACTGGAGCTCTGATTGATGCAGGGTCTTGCTGGTGGCATCCCGCTGCTCTTGGCTTCAAAAGCATGGGCGAGTGATGTTGGTCTCATGGGGAAAGGTACGCCCCTAGCAGTAGGGAGCACAAAGGGAAGAGGAGCTTACTAAGACCAGTGTCAAAAACAAGAGAAGACCTGCTTCTGTAAGCAAGTCAGACAGAATGCAGTGTTCTTTATCTCTTGCTTCTCCGCCTTTCAACATTTATCTTGATTAACAATTTCTCTGAATTTACTTTTCTCTTTCTAGTAACTCAATCCTAAATACTCCAGCCTGAGATGTTAATTTGGTCGATTAAACAAGAGAAATCCCTTAGAAATGATCTTATGATTCTGAAGTCCATATTTCTCCAGAAATATTTACTTCTGCCAGATTCCAAGGTTCACGAAAATACCAATGAATTAGTAGGAAATGTTTCCTCCATTTTAACTTTGACCAAACCTCATTCAAAACCATGAAACCAAAAGAAGAGTAAGAAACCACAAAGCTAGTTACCACCCAGATGGCTCCCAGCTTATGAATAAGTTGTATTCCAAAAGTTGGCTTGTAAATCAGCTGTTCCGTATGGTAGTCTTTCCCACAGAAACCATGTTTTAAATGGTGGCCAAGTTTCAAGGTCTCTCATAAAGTCTATCTAACTCATGAGATAACAAGTAATATTAACAAAGAATAGAATTCCAGAAATTATTTAGATTTTTTTTTTTTGGGAGAAAAGCAGGATAAGGAAAAAACTATACTTCCTGTGGGTGGAGGTGGGGACCCAACTATCTCCAAGCAAAGAGGCCACACAGCCTTCTACTGTCCTGGGCCAGGTGGGTTTTGTGGCCAGCAGGAAAGGCCCTGTGGTGAGGCATGAGGCAGGAGAGCATGGGAGAATGGAGTGCCCAGAAGAACTTCCAGGAGAGAGTTAGGAGGAAGCAGTTCAGAGAGAGAGAGAGAGGATCAAGAAGAGCTTCAAGATAAGAGAAAACTGGAGAGGAAGCAAACGGAACATGTTTACAGATGTTATAGTAGGTTATGAGTTTAATTCTTTTTAATGTTTGCTATAGTTTGAATGTTTGTCCCCCATTAACCTCAGGTTAAAATTTAATCCCAGGCCGAGACGGGTGGATCACGAGGTCAGGAGATCAAGACCATCCTGGCTAACACGGTGAAACCCCGTCTCTACTAAAAAAAATACAAAAAACTAGCCGGGCGAGGTGGCGGGCACCTGTAGTCCCAGCTACTCAGGAGGCTGAGGCAGGAGAATGGCGTAAACCCGGGAGGCGGAGCTTGCAGTGAGCTGAGATCCGGCCACTGCACTCCAGCCTGGGCGACACAGCGAGACTCCGTCTCAAAAAAAAAAAAAATTTAATCCCAATGTTGGAGGTGGGGCCTAATGGGGGTGTTTGGCCGTTGGGACAGATCCCTCATGAACAGTCTCGTGCCCTCCCTGGGGATGATTGAATCAACCCTGTATTAGTCCCTTCTTCCCACCAGAGCTGGTTGTTAGAAAGAGCCTGGCCCTCCTCCCTCCCGCTTTCCTCCTCTCTCACCCTGTGAGCTCTACAGAGCTGGCTTCCCATCACCTCCTGCCTTGAGCGGAAGCAGTCTGACCAGCAAGACTTCACCAGATGCAGGTGCTGGTGCGAGGCTTCATGTACAGCCTGCAGAAGCACGAGCCAAATAAGCCTCTTTACTTGACAGATTACACAGACTCAGCTTTTCCTTTAGAGCAAAACAAAATGAACTAAGACAGTGTCCTTCAAGAGATTCAAGTGGAAATTAGAATTTTTTTAAATTACTTTTTCTTGCTAGATGGCATTTTTTGACTAGAACTCTATACTAGGATTGGGCTATGGGAGCACCAGGATTTCTATGGGCTTTATAAGTAGGAGCCTGTGCTATAGATCCTATATTATTCGGGCAAACAGGAAAGAAAAGATTTCCTTCCACTTACGCTCTGTAAACGTTTATTAAGCCAGCATTTTTTTAGTGCTTGCTAGGTCTCTGGTGCCACAAGGGACACTAGACAGGATGAGATACAAAAATAAATAAGATGGACTTCTTGCCTTTGAGGAGCATATAGGTTGCAGGGGAAGACACCACTGCCAACAAATGATCCCAGTGCATGCTACACTAGAAGTGTGTGCAAGTAGCATAGGGACACAGATAAAGAAGGGCTTCTCTGCCAGGGTGGTTGGGAAAGCTTGTTCTCTCCAGTTGGGACCCTGCTTGAGTCTGTCCCTTATATCTTCTGCTTTCAGATATCTTCGCATGTTACTTCATCCTGTTCTTCACTTTTTCATCTACAGAATCTATGAAAAAAATTTTTTTTTACAATGACTCATTGGAAAAGAAAAATTTGGCAATGGGGCAGTGGAGGGAGTCTAGGGATGCCAACAGAAATGGTGGTTACATGTTTTAACATTTGATAAATTTCAAAAATTAGGAATTGGGTTTATATATACATACACATATGTATATGTACATATAGGTATATATGTGTGTGCATGTATATAATGTGTACATATACGTGTGTGCATTGTAATCAAAAGGAAGTCTCCAGGAGGAGCAGTTTCCCAGGATCCAGTCTTCTGGTGAGACACTGGGGATGACACGGGGATGGCCAGGGCTCCAGGCATCACTGCCACGTTATTTTGGATCTTGTATCTGAACTCTAGAATATGTCACATAGTCATCAAACCACAGTTTAGTCTGCTCTTCCACAATGGAAAACTTTATCTAGTTGGCCTGTGTTACACTATAATGTGTGAAGGGAATTGGATGGTATTACATCGAGAATCCAAGCAAAGCTTATTGTTTCTTGGGATTACATTCTCATATTTTTATGTTCTTTAATAAAGCACAGGCTGGAACATAAGTGAAAGGAAGCAAGTTCTTAACTATTAAAAATGGACTGCATGGCCCTGTCTCACACCGTAGACAAATACAAATACTAGCTAAAAATGGACCGTAGACCCAAATGTCAAAGCTGAAACTGTAAAACTCTTAGAAGAAAATGCAGGAGTAAGGCCGGGCATAGTGGCTCACGCCTGTAACCCCAGCACTTTGGGGGGCCAAGGCGGGTGAATCACTTGAGGTCAGGAGTTCGAGATCAGCCTGGGCAACACAGTGAAACCCCGTCTCTACTAAAAATACAAAATTAGCCAGGTGTGGTGGCACATACCTGTAATCCCAGCTACTCGAGAGGCTGAGGCAGGAGAATCGCTTGAACCTGGGAGGAGGAGGATGGGATGTGAGCCAAGATCGCACCATCGCACTCCAGCCTGGGCAACAAGGGAAAATCTCTGTCTCACCAAAAAAAAAAAAAAAAAAAAAAAAAAAAAAGAAAATGCAGGAGTAATTCTGTGTGATCTGGCATTATGTAATGATTTCCTAGACATGACAGTAAAAGCATAAGTGACAAAATACAAAATACAAAATAGATGTTGGACATCATAAAAATCAAAACTTTTGAAGACACTATTAAGAAATGAGGAGAAAATTCACAGAATGGAAGAAAATCTCTGCAAATCATATATCTGATAAGGGGCTTGTGTCCAGAATATATAGAGAACTCTTAAAACGAACAATAAAAAGACAAATAACCAAATTTTTTTAATGGGCAAAGAGTTTGAGGCCGGGCGCAGTGGCTCACGCCTGTAATCCCAGCACTTTGGGAGGCCGAGGCGGGCGGATCACGAGGTCAGGAGATCGAGACCATCCTGGCGAACATGGTGAAACCCCGTCTCTACTAAAAATACAACAAAATTAGCCGGGTGTGGTGGCGGGCACCTGTAGCCCCAGCTACTGGGGAGGCTGAGGCAGGAGAATGGTGTGAACCCGGGAGGCGGAGTTTGCAGTGAGCCGAGATCGCGCCACTGCACTCCACCCTGGGCAACAGAGCGAGACTCCATTTCAAAAAAAAAAAAAAAAAAAAAAGAGTTTGAATAGACATTTATTCAAAGGAGATATGCAAATGGCTAATAATCACATGAAAAGATACTCAGAGTCATATGTCATCAAGGAAATAGAAATTAAAACCATAATGAAATCCTGGTAGGATGGTTAAACTAAAAAAGATAGATAATATAATAACATATGTTCTTGAGAATGTGGAGAAATTGAAGCTCTCATATATTGCTGAAGAGAATATAAATTTTCAGTCACTGAGGAAAATAATTTGGCAGTTCCTCCAGAAGTTAAATATGGAATTACCATATGATCCAGCAATTTCACTTCTAGGTATAAACCCAAGAAAAATGGAAAAATATATACACATAATGACCCATCCACAAATGTTCACAGTGCCATTTTTTATCATAGCCGAAAAGAAACAACCTAAATGTCCATCAGATGAGAAAATGGATAAACATGATGTGGTTTATCTGTACAATGGAATATGATTTGGCTATAAAAAGGATGAAAGTACTATTGCCTGCTACAAAATAAATGAACTTGGAAAACATTATGCTGATTGAAACAAATCAGACACAAAATGCTACTTATGATCATATGGTTCCGATTATATAAAATATTCAAAATATACAAATCCTTAGAGATAGAGAGTAGATTAGTGCTTGCCTATGGTTGAGGGAACGGAAGATTGGAACGAGGAGTGCCTGCTAATGGGGACAGGGTTTCCTTTTGCCGTGGTGAAAACATTCCGCAATTAGATAGTGATGATGGCTGCTCAACTTGGCAAATATGCTAAAAACCACTGAATTGTATGTTTTGAAAGGTCAGATTTTATGGTATATGAATCATATCTCAACAAAGTTGTTTGAAAAAAAAAAAACAAAAAAAACAGATTGCCCAATCCCTGCATCCACACGGGGTTAATGAGAGACCAGGACCGCTAGTCATTCTTTCATCAGAGAGTAGGCTGATTAAGTAGTACTCCACCTCTGGGGTTTTTTTTTTCCTCTCTTTTTCTTCCAGAGAGGTGAGCATCTGCAGAATGCTCTCTGGCACAGAGTGTTCATTAGAATAAACAAAAATAGCATCCCACCTACCGAACAGCTGTCATTGATGTTCAGATTGCTGTTTTGCTTTTTTCTTTTCTTTGTTTCTAAAACATCATTAAATAAGCACAGACCTCCCCAAAGAAGCTCTAACTTTTGATTGGATAATTCTCAGGATGTATTTTCTGAAAGGTCAGTGATTTTTTTTTTTTTTTTTTTTTTTCAGAACAGTAATTCTTCAGTGGTGGTCTGAAGACTGTGGGTGTTCCTTGAGGAGCCAGTAAGTCAAGCATCTGCAACTCCCCTGTGCACAGGGCAGGGCAGGGGGAATGAATGAGACTATAGCCGGGTGTGGACTATGGTATACTAGGAGGGCTGCACCTACTCGGCCTGAAGGGGGAGCGCGTGCTTTGCCTGAAGGGGCAGCCCCTCCAGCACCAGGGGACTGTGGGGAAGTGAGTCCACCTTCATCAGCTCTGCCAGTTTTACAGACAGACACTGAACACCTGAATTTTTTTATGCAAAATCTTTATGTTTTAAATGCTGACAACCAAACTCAAAGGAAATGTAAATCACTCGTGTGGGCCAAACAAAAGATACTGTGGGCTGATAAACTACAAGTTTGTGACCTGGGCCTATAGGGGTTCTCTGCACTGGCTCTTTTGTATAATTAATATCAGATTTTCAAATCAGAAAGTGAGTGTTGAAATGGTACCTGGAGTTCCTGTAGTTCAGTCTCCCACACCATGTTAAAGTCTTTTCTACAATAGGCACGTTGAATTTAAGGAAGCTAATAATTCAAGCCAGACACTTGCAGTTTCTTTGTTGCCTTTTTATTTTAAAAGAATATGGAGTGAGGAGTTAGGTAAAGAGATGGAGGTAGAGGGAAGTTTTGGGAAGCAGGCCAAAAATTTAGGCCTGGAAGGGGCATCAATGTTGATTTTTTTTTTTTTTTTTTTTTTGATGATTCTCTCTTATGACTACCCCTAATATTTTTTAATCCTAATTTATCAAAATGCATCAGCAAGGTTGGGACTTAGGTTTTCCAGAATTCTCGGAAGGAAACAGAATTTTAGGCCTGGAGCAGACCTTAGAATTAATGTTGTCCGATTCTCTTATTTTACAGATGAGGGAACTGAAATCCGTGAACTTCAAACCATTTGCTTGAAGACATGGCTGACATTTGTGGCTGAATCCTAATGTAGTTAATTTTCCTTTCAGCGGGTCAACTTGCAACTGGTAAGTAGGATCCATACAAAACTACAATCACCTCGAAATATCCTGTAGTCTTTTCTACCTCACATTTCAATAGCTCTCATTTTTTAAGAGATACAAAGATTTCTTTTTAAAGAAGCAGCTGATATTTATTTGACTTCATGAGTTACCTTACTGGATTAATGAGATAACTAATAGAAGTTATTTCAAAACAGAGCCAACTACAGAGTGCACATGATTCTGGAAACAGGGTTGGCATGAACCACAGATAATCCCCACAAGTCATTTCACTAGTTCCCATTGTCCTAATAAAACCCTTTGGAGGGGTGCTAATAAGTGTCAAATTAACCAATGTGTGTTTCATTTCCTCTATTTGCCCTCTGAAAGAGATGCTGGCAAAATGGCAGATACAGCAGTAGTGGGAAGGACAAGGAGGAGAAATGAAGGCACCAAAGAGCTCCAACATTTAGACAGTCCACAGTCCATCCCTAAATGATCAAAAGTTGTGTGTAACATGGCACAAATTATTATGAGTTGAAATCTTTTGGTCACTAGGGACAAGGACAAAACAGAGCCCACAAGTGTGTGAGAAGGGCCCGAGGGATCATTCAGTTTGTTTGCATTGTTGTGTTTTGTTTTTCTCTTGGTATGGCACCTACACACAAATCTGACAAGCCAAAATAGGAATAAGAACACACGCACTCACAGTGACCTTTTATTAAATGCAGAGATGGTTATGTGTCACCTAAAACATCAACAAAAGCCCAGTTCCAGTAATCAGCAATATTTTTTTGCTGCATTTATACTTGGTCCTCTTTAATTATACAGAGTTGCCACCAGTGTACTGAAATGATAGACTAGAACACGATGACTTCAGCAGGAGATCAGAGCTTTAGAGCTTCATCATTCTCGCATTCAAGTGCGAGATTTCAGCCTGTCTCTCCTCTAAATGCAGTTAGGAGTCTTTGAAACCTTTTGTGTGAATCCAGGAGGGAAAATTGTCTGGCAAAGTCTGATAAGCATCATGTCAAGAGCACATTTGTACTCTGGTAAGAAGCCCAGGCCAATTGCTGCTGGGTTGTCATGGCAACAGACATACACACCATTTACACATCAGCTTCTGAAATGAGTAGAAAATAACAAAACCTTTTCGACAGGCTGGGAGGTGAAGGGAAGAGCGGCATCATCTGTGCAGCCTGGTGAAACGGCTCTAGTGGGCATGCTGTCTCCTTGGATGGTGTCATGTTTTTAACCCAGTGGGAAATTCATAGGATCCTCCTGATTCTGTATAAACTGTGGGACAGTTCAGTCACTTTTACCAAATCCTTATTTCCTTTTCAAACCCTGTTTACTAATTGATGCCAAATAGTATTATAGTAATTGGGAAATAAAGGAGGTCCCTCTCCTGCTTATTCCTCCCAAAGTACATTTCTTTAGCTTTTCAGGGAGGTTTTGTAGCATACTTATATATTGTAGAGGGAGATGGAGAAGGAGGAGGAGGTCTTTCATGGGCCTAGAGAAAATGAAGTTAATCACGGTTGGAAAGCCTTCCCTTAAAAATGCTGGTTTTTGTTTGTTTGTTTGTTTGTTTTTTAATGGAGTCTCTCTCTCTGTCACCCAGGCTGGAGTGCAATGGCATGATCTTGGCTCACTGCAACCTCCCTCCTCCCGGGTTCAAGCCATTCTCCTGCCTCAGCCTCCCGAGTAGCTGGGACTACAGGCATGTGCCACCACACCCAGCTAATTTTCTTTGTATTTTTAGTAGACATGGGGGTTTCACCATGTTGGTCAGGCTGGTCTCGAACTCCTGACCTCAGGTGATCCACCTGCCTCAGGCTCCCAAAGTGCTGGGATTACAGGTGTGAGCCACTGCACCCAGTCCTAAAAATGCAGTTCTAAAAATGAATAAAAAAATAACAATTCATTCCAGTAGTTCCTGAGGCATATGGCATCAACAATAGATCAGAACTATATGGAATAAGCCCACAACGTTGAAAAATTTAGGCTGAGTGGAAGCTGGATCCCTGAAGCTAATCTCAGCGATTTAAAGTAGAGAATAAGGATGGAATGCATCCCCTCCATTAGTCTTGAAGTGAAACCACAGGAACTCTATTCATGAGAAGTAAAATTAGCTGTATGTTCACTTTTCATGACATTTGTTACTGCACTTAAGCATTCCACAGCATGACTTAATTGCTGCTGAAATACCTAAGAGGAAAGAGAAGGAAGGAAAATAAAGTGTTTGATCTTTGAATGACAAAATAGTCACGAATCTGGGAACATTAAGTAACTAGAGATGGAGTTAGCATCACAAGCAACACACAAGAAAAGTCTTGTGTCTGATGATAATAAAGTTCCCTCAACTGATTCATCACTTTTTCCCTTGCTATAATTATGAATATTCATCAAAAAACCTCTGACATTAAAATTTCAAACTCTTGTTACTTCTGCTTTTCTATCTCATAATTAGAAAAATTTATTAATTCCAATTTTAGTTCTGGGTTTCTAAAAAATTCCAGGAATAAAACCTAGGGAGAAAGACCCTCTCATTGTATACATCTTCTTGGGGATTCACGTTCTGGGTGCTTCACTTAGACATGGTAAGTTGAAAACATAGGGAAACAAAAGATCTAAAGAAAGTAGCCAGCCTCTCCCAGAGATTGCAAACCAGCATGCAGTCAGCTGGCAGACACTTTGTGGGGAGGTAGGGACTGGAACAGTGTTAAAAGAAATGGCACTGGGCACGGTGGCTCATGCCTGTAATCCCAGCACTTTGGATCACTTGAGGTCAGGAGTTCAAGACCAGCCTGGCCAACTTGGTGAAACACCATCTCTACTAAAAATACAAAAATTAACCAGGTAATACCAGTTATGTGGGAGGCTGAGGCATGAAAATCACTTGAACCCAGGAGGCGGAGGTTGCACTGAGCTGAGATTGCGCCACTGCACTCCAGCCTGGGTGACAGACTCTGTCTCAAAAGAAAACAAGAAAAATGGCATAAATGCCTTTTAGGTCGAGCAAAAGCTCGGTTGTTTGCCACAGTCCTCCCCATTCTTTACTGTCTTACATCTAGATTGCCTGCTTATTTCTGTTGCCTGCTTACGGGCTTTGAGTTAGCAGTTTATGCACACATTTGCTGATGCTCCCCAGATTTTCTTCCTTTTGGTATGTATTCAAATCAACCCATCTATTTAAGACTTAATTCAGGTGTTCCCTCTTCCACAAAGCCCTTCTGGCCCTCTGGTCTCACCTGACCACCCCTATGACCCCTATTCAGTGCCCTTCAGTTTTAGTTCTTACTTTTTCTCTAATTTGTTCAGGAGTAACCAAGTGGCAAACCCCCAGAGGGCCAGGTTGTGATTCACTGTTCTTGTGTTTTAACCCAGGAGAGTGGTAGTTGTGGTGTGGGAGCTCAGTTAGCTCACAACAGTTTTTTGACAGATGGGAATGCAGGAACCAGCAAAGTGAGGGAGTGGACCCCGGCACAGCCCAGTGGCCTTGCACTGGTTTCAAAAGGAAAATGAAAAGTTCTGTAAAGTCTTTAAGACTCCTATGACGGAAATATTCTCTTGGAAGCTCAAAATTGATATTTTGGTTCTTAGTAGAATAGTTAAAACACATTTCTGCTTAAAATCTCTAAGTACTGAGGGATGACAACAGGTAGGACGAACATAGAAATACAAGTAATTTCATAATATCACCTAGGGAAGCCATAGCATTGAGCTTAAGTATTTGGTGACTGTATCAGTTTCCTGTGACTACTCTTACCTCCTTGCTTATTTCAAAGTCTGAAGTGTTTCATGTTGGGTTGAGAAAAGCTGTAAAGTGGCACCACCTGATGGTTACTACCCAGAGTGCCTGAATTGACCTTGCAATTTCAAATGTAATAAATGATCTTGGTTAGCTCAGAAGACTTTTTCCTAATGCTTTACGTGAAAACAGCAAATTGAAATATGTTCCTCTTGGAAAATCAGAAACAAAGAAAATGTTTTAAATTTTGACAGAAGCAAACCCTCTCGTATACAGAATAATCTACCACCAAAACAGTTTGCATATGATATTCATTGAATACTATTACATTTCAAATAGGTAATAAATAAGATTTTATTGTCCAGTTTTTCTTTATCCTTTAAAAGCAGATATTTTTTCTACATAGAACTCTCCTTAACCAATTGTTTGATTATACCTCTCACCCCTTCCAACAAACACAATGTATTTATTTTAAAAATCTATCACTTGCCCTGTAGAATTTTCCACATTTTGGTTTGCACTAATTGCTTCCTCCAGTGCTGTCTAACTTGTTTCTATTCCTAGGATTTCCTGTAAACTAGTAGTAAGATCTAGATTAGATTAGACTTGATTAAATCCCAGTTCTATTTTTGGCAAGATAATAGGTGACACTGTATGATGCTATATTAATCAAATCTTGAAGCACGTGCCTAGTTGTCCTCCTTAACGTGATATTAAGATTGATTTGTGGGTACAGGTAATGTCAGTTGGAATTCTCTATTATAAAGTTCCCCAATAACCTTTCATTGAGAGTGTGGATATCTATTGGTGATCATTGTCTCCATCCATCATTTCATGAGGACTGCAAAATAGTGATGGTATAAGTTTTATTATTACTTATATACCTATTAGCTGGGATTTTCTCATCATCTATTTAGTTAGCTTGAAATACAGTTCAAACAGGAAAGAAAGAACAAATATGTGATCAATCTCTTTAAAATATATATTTAGAATAACAAATTAGTGTCCTGGCAACCTTCAAAGCTGAGCAGTGATGTTTTGTGTTTCATTAGGAATTCATAGATTTTTATATTTGATGTATTTTAACCCATTGCAAGCATTATTCTTGTTGATGCCCAAATGGTTCCACATTTGACAAATGCATATATTTTTAACATAAATACTCTTAATATGTGGCATAGTTGTTAGGAAAGCAGGCATATTGTAATGTTCTTAGAATAAATTATTACCACTTTCAAGGAAGGCAATTTAGCAATATGTATTAGGAGCCTTAAAAAACGTATGCCCTTTGATTTATACTCTAGGATCAAACATAAAGCAGTCGTTTCTATGAAAATAATCAGGAACATAGCTAATAATTGTATAAAGATATTAATTCTAGTGAAAAGTTAGAAAGAGATGTCAGCCGGGCACAGTGGCTCATGCCTGTAATCCCAGTACTCTGGGAGGCTCTGAGGCGGGCATATCACGAGGTCAGGAGATCAAGACTATCCTGGCTAACACGGTGAAAAACCCCATCTCTACTAAAAATACAAAAAATTATCTGGGCGTGGTGGCACGCGCCTGTAGTCCTGGCTACTTGGGAGGCTGAGGCAGGAGAATCACTTGAACTCGGGAGGCAGAGGTTGTAGTGAGCCAAGATTGTGCCACTGCATTCCAGCCTGGGCAACAGGGTGAGACTCTGTCTCAAAAAAATAAAAAAAAAAGAGAAAGAAAAAAAAGAAAAAAGAAAAAGATGTGAATAAGTATGATGATATACTATAGCTACCATATTAAAAATCCAGTTTTTTGAAGAATTCTTGTTATCATGGGGATATTTTTATATTACATTAATTGAAAGAAGACTACCAAAATATGTATATATACCAAATTATATACATAATATGTATATAAACAAAAGACTAGGAAGTCATACTTCAAAATATTAATAGTTATATCTGGATAGTGGGATTACAGGATATTTTTATGTCTCATTTGTATTGTTCTTTACTTTAAAAATTATTTCCAATATTATGTATCACAATATGTCTTATTAAAAATCAGCTAGTATTAAAGGTTTTTCTGGACAATGTTAATTTGCTATTGTTGGAATAAACAACCAAGTAAATAGTTTATAATAAACAAGCAGAATGTCTCCTTATGTGTTAGTGAAAATTCTGCAAGAAAAAAAGGAACACTTTTCCCTCAGCCAAAAGATCCTTCTGAGTTAGTTAAAGAACGAAAACACAACTAAGCAGGATTTGAAATAAAACCTGCAGGAGCCTTCCTGAGATAGGTTATATTTTTCCTCCTAGAATCTGCTCATTGCAATTAATTAGGCTTCTTCAAGAGTAAATTTTCCCTGTGCTATCCAATAAGTCAATGTGATATTCATCCTGATTCTTACTGTGAATGAGAGTATCAACATAGATTAAGATGGATGTATCTGCCATTTGTAATGAGATTCCACAAGGTATCTCCACCCACCAGTTCCTTTCTGATACTGGCAATCTCTGATTTTTGATATCCTAATGTCTAGTTGTCACTTCCAAAAGTCTAACAACCTCTAGTCCAAACCATTTATTAATCCTTAATCTCTGCCTCACCTTCGTACTACCAAACAGGTATTCAATGTCCAAAATTAGTCCCAATGAGATAAAAGAAAATAAAATTCACAAATAATATTGACAAAACAACTTTTAACATGCTGTTACAAGTCCTATTTCCTGGAAGCTCTTTGGGGACAAAGTTCATGTCTAGTTTAATTTTTTTCTTTTCTTTTCTTTTCTTTTTTTTTTTTAGACGGAGTCTCTCTCTGTTGCCCAGGCTGGAGTGCAGTGTCGTGATCTTGGCTCACGGCAACCTCTGCCTCCTGGGTTCAAGTGAT